GTGTGTTGCTGTTCGAGAAACTGTGTGGATGTGTGTGTGGATGTGATGTGAAAGAAGTTAAGTCACACATTTGGCCTAAATTTGTAATTTGTCTTTTCTTCATCGCCCTCATCGTCGCACAGTTGGCGCTTTTCTTTTGTTCATTGGCGCTTGAAAAGAAGAAAACACAACAGCAACAGCAACAACAACAATAACAACAAGAAAAACTGTAGCACCTCTTGACATTTTGGGGCGCATTTCCTAATTTTCTGCACTACTTTCTGTGGGCTCTGACAAACGACTCTGTGATTAGAGGGACTCCAATTTGAATTATCTAACAAAACTTAAACTAAAACTAAAAGAAGAGAAAAACTTTGCAGCTGCAATGCAGTTTTTGTTTTCGTTATATTTTCTGAAAAAACTTGTTTGATGTTATGCCTCAAGGGTTCATTCTGAGCTGCCGTACATCCTTGAACTGTGGCGCCCAGTTAGCCAGCGATTCGCATTATCTCTGATGCTTTAATAACAATGCCAAAATTCAGCTGCGGTTTCTTTTTCGGATATTTTGCAATAATTTTTCGGTTTTTTCTTTCTGAGACTGCAACACAATTAAATATTCAACAAATTGAAAATGCATGAAACCGCAAGCTGGGCAATTTTGAGGTCTTTGGCTAGGCATTTAATTGTGCGGGTATGCCTCATACATAAATACCTTTCATTAATCATGCGGCCAACATTTGCTCAAGCAAATGTATCTTATATGCAAATCTGAATTGTAGTTAGAACAAATTTTGCAATTAATATTTCATTTAATTATAGCCCGCTGCCCATAGCTGTTGATTAATTCAGCAAAGAAGCTAGAGCCATCAGGCAGCTGCCTCTGTCTAATTGTAATGACTTTGAAATGAATCGTCTGTATGCCAGCATAATTAAGTTAATAACGCTTTATTTAAATTATAAGCGAAAAACTCTTGTTCAAGTTGCTTAATTAATTGCCTTCACATTTATGCTGACACTTCAGAAAAAAACAAAAAAAAAAACAACAAACAACAAACAATAGAAGTAAATGACCAGCAAAGACAATTGCCATATCAAAAGGACAATTATAAAGCAACTTTTTCTTCAAAATGATTATCAGCATTTAAGGAATTCATGGACGACTAGACATTGAGCTTAAGAGACTATAAAAATTCCAAAGTCTACGAGTATATCATTATTTACATGGTCATATATTTATATCTATAAATATGTGTTGTAAACTTATAACTACACCTATTTTTTCATATATTTATTTCTTTTTAAAAATTGTATTGAATTTGTGAAGAAAGGCTAAGTAACAGAATAAATTACAAATCATATTAGTATATCGAATTTTGATTCTGACTCGGCTCTTTTGTGAGATTATGTGCTTATAATTTTTAATGAAATAAAAAATATATTTATTTTAAGCTGCTTTTACGGCCCACGTTTGTCTTTCATTGCTTTGAATTATTGCTGACATTTATTGTACATCTTTTATATGAATGCCAAAAGAAACTAAATAGAAATTCAATTAAATATTAATATAACATTTTAAAGCCCGCAAAAACTTTAAACTCAAATTAAATATATAAGCCTAACTTTTCGTTGTGCGAAATTGATTTTCGTAAATATTAAAATCAATAAAATAAAGTGACGCAGCAAGATTTGATATTTCTGTTGGTTGCTTATTATTTCGTGCCACAATTCACACAATTTCAGCTTATAGTTCATTATTAATTTTGAGGATAATTATAGTAGAATCCAATAAATTGACTGTATGAGTATGTTTAACAAAAGAGTTTAATGCCAAACTAATTGACTATGATTTTATTTTATTGCTAAAAGAAACCTTGGAACGTTTTAAGAACGTGCTCGTGAAAAGAAGAGAAAACTAAAATGCAAAGCATGGTTTTTCGAGCTTTAAAAATGTATAAAATGTTGAGAAAACATTTAACTTTTTATTTCGAAAAATTAGTTTAGTTATAAGTTAAAATGTTGAGCAACAATTAACCAAAGTCAATTAACATTTCTTTCTTACTTCCAGGTGCAATCCTAAAACTATCATATCAGCAAGAAACATTCATTCTCCTGTTTTCCCATTATCCATAGACACAAAATTAATCACTTTCAAAATTATGATCCACTTGTTCGTTGTTATCTTTTTATATATCTACCTATCTATTTAACCAACTTCCCTTTTGGTCGCTTGTGAACTACACATTTTATGAACGCAATAAAGAACGACAAAAATTGTTGCAAAAGAAATTCGATACAAATAGACGGACATTTCAAATTGAGCAACAACCATAATATGAAATTTTTTATGGCAACATTTTTTAGGGCGCTTCCCATTGCCTAATGCTGTTCATAAAAGTAAAAATCCAATTCCAATTCAGTGACATTTGCGAACAACATTTTGCTAGCAATGCTCGCGAGCTGGCTATAAAAATAATAAAAATTAAGTTGAAAGAAGCATATGATAAATTTTGAACGGTCACTTTGTGAAAGGCCACAAGTGGCATGCAACTAAATGCACGATTCGGTTTTTGGTTTAGTTTCTGATTTTTTGCCTATTCATGCGTGCAAATGCGTTTGACATTTATTGCCAGAAGTGCTCAGAAGGCAGTGGAAAATAAGAGCCACTTTAAGACTGTAGGCTGCAAGCGATGGCCACTAAATGGAATTGGAATTGCAGCTCGCAATTCAGATTGCATCGCACTCACTCACCTTTGAGAGGCAGCATCCTGTCAAATTTTGGAGCAGCAGTAGCTGTGGTGGCACTTCGTCAGCTTGGTTGCAAAATTGATTTGCTTTCGGTTTCGTGAGCGTTGCAATATGTTTGCTAACGTGTTTATGTGTATTTGTTATTACTATTTCTATTTGTTTGTTTGAGAGTTTTCCGCAAGTCGAGTTGATTTTTCGTGGTTTTTCGTTTAGGATTTCCTTTTTGTATTTTTGCCTTGAACTCAGCTGTTTTAAGCTAAACTGATGTGCCGCAATATATTATCACGATTAAGTTAAAGTTGGGCGAAAAAAAAAGAAAATCACTTCAAGTTATTTGTGTTTGTGGTACAAAAGCATCATATAAAGATACATTAACTTAATGGGGCAGACTTCGGCGTAGACAGTCCACAATAAATGTCTATTATGTTGGATATGAATTACACAAATAATTTAGTTTTGTAAGCGAATTTACAAATATTGGTCAATTACTACACAATGTTGCCAGAAAGGAAAAGTAAAACATTAATACAAATGAGCTGTTAATGAAAAAACGCCCTCAATATTTCCAGAGGCAATACGCATGGCCATTAATATGAAATATTAAACTGGGGGTAATTTAAATTTTGAAGAAAAAATAAATTAATTGTACAACATTTAAAAGTTATGTAAACTTTTCCCAATTTCCTTAATAAAAATAATTTTTAAATACATATATGTGATTTTTTGTTATTTAAATATTCCTTTTCTAACAAATAAAACTTGAAGTGATTATTCTTTTAGTTATTGTTATTTTTCCTTTCTTTTTTTGAAAAAAAGCATTATTTCATTAACACAATCTTCAATGTATATTTCACACTATTATTGTAATTTGTTTTTCAAAGATTATCAATATTTGGGCAAACTTTATGTTTCAGCACTGAGTTAAATCACTTTTGCAAAAATATTGCACTTTAATTTTGTTTCATTAAAATTGCCAGTTTGACAGTTTCTGCAATATTTTATATTTTAGATCATTTTTTTATCGAACTACACACTGAGGAGCCAACCAAACAGAAGACGTCTTCACCCGTACGATATTCACATTTGAATGTTTCAATTGGCAAATGCGGCGTCCAACTTTAGTATTTGAGCGCTCAAACTGAAACTCTTTTTAGCGAAGCGCACACAAAGCCACAAAAGCAGCAACAACAACAACAACGGCACCCGACGACGATCAACCAAGCCAAAAGCACTCGACTAATGTTACCAACTGGCGACGAAGTCGCCACAGCCACCATTTACCACAACACAACGAAGATCTTTGCCACAAGACGAGCGAGCGAGCGAGGGAGCGAGCATCTTCCTCGAAATCAAAACCACAAAACAATTCAAAGGCAAAAGCTAAAAAAAGACAATAAACAACAGTAAGCAAAGCCAATAACAAAAACAAATGCAACTTGGGGACTAGAGCAGCAATCAGCTGTTCGCATGTGGCGCTCAACAACAAGTTTGAGAGAGCACAAGCGTGCGGTTTTTTTTACAGCGCACGCCTCTGTTAAAGCTAACATGGCTGTTAAACGTTCGTTCGCGCCTAACATTACCTTATGTTTGTTTTAATGCATCACATGTACATACTAACTAGTAGGTATGTGCATTTGTATGTATGCCTATTTAAGTGATATGCTAATTGCTTTGCCTCCGTCACGACGTAGTAGTATGGGTAGAAAGAACATTGAGCAACTAATATTAGAAACAGATTGAGAACTTTTTGATTATTTGTCACAATCGAACAAGAACTTTGTATGCAAATGCAACAAATGTTGAACATTTACTTTTAAAACGAGAGAAATAGAGAGTTTCTACCAAAAAGAAGTTAAAAAATACAACAAATTTTAGCTGCTTGAAAATGATTAGCTGGTTGAAATTTATAAACATTAAAAGAATATTTTATTTGAAAACAAATGCATACTTTGAGAACTTGGAATAAACGATTTAAGCTAATAAAATAATCTTTTGAAATATAAAATAAGTTCAATCCTAAAATGTGCAATTTTATTGCCTTTTTTTATCTTTAACTTTCATCTATACTCCTAGAAGGTTACGTGTCAAACAATAATACTAGCAGCTTATACAATTATATTTTTAGACCATTAAATAGGCGACGACGAATCAAAAAATAAAACACCGGAAAAGAGTCGAGTGCTTAACGAATCTAAAAACATTTATGTAATGCCGAAACGTGTGACAAAATTCAAAACATGAAATAAAGAGACAGGCAAATCAAAAACACAGCTCCAATGCAAGCAAAGAGCAGCAAATAAATCAATCAAAATGTTAAGTACACATACATACAGTAATTGAATGTGTGTGTGCGTTTGTTTGTAGGTTTAGGCATCGCCATTGCGTTGAGTGCACTTGAAACGCTATATAAACGCGATTAAAAACGCGTTTCAATCAATACGCCAAATGAGCGAATGCCAACAAAAACAACAACAAAGGCAACACCCAGCCATGATGACAATAATTAGACGGGCACATGAGGAGGGGTATTCGATGGATGAGGAAAAGGAAACACGGAAGTTTGTCATTGATGGGGCGTATTTGCGAAGCGACTGCGACAGTTTTGGTTTGTTTGTCACACATAAGGCGGCTGCGGGGGTGCTGAAAAGTTGTGCAGTGGGTCTTTGGGTCGAGCGATCACTCGCGATAGCAATAATAAACAAAATCACAAAATTAAAGATTCGCAATGCTCGTACTAACAACTACAATGTTGATGCGATGGCGATGGCGACGACGACTCTTTGACTTGGGGCGTTTCAGTTTTTGTGGGCCAAACCTTTAACAAACCATCAACAAGCCCACAAATAATGGTCAATGGGCAAACAAGACAAGCACTGAGGAGTTGTTGACAGTGGACAGTTTTTATTATGATTTGCCAGCTTCTTTATGCGCTAGACAATCGACGTCGTCATCAACATAAGCCCAGTCGGGCCATACTGACTGACTATCTGGCAGACTGACTGAAAGATGAACTGACAGACTGGCGGGCGCAGCAACTCCTGACGAACGCTTCGATTGCATAACTTTTGTTTGATTTTCGTTTATTATTTGGCTTCTGCTTCTTCTCTCACAGCTTCCTTTAGCGCAGTGTCAGTTTGCAGGCATTGGAGATGGAAGTGTCACGGTCACGCATGTATTTGTTTTAGCAGATAATGGTTTATAAGATAAGTAAAAGATATTAAGCATTTTTCATAACTAAAAACATATTTCTTATAATTAAATAAAGAAACTGTTGCTTAAAAATCCATAAAATGTTACTTAAATTGGTGAAGAAACCAACTGAAATTATAAACGCGTTTTATAGGTAACTAAGCTATTAAATTTGTGAATAATTCAATCAAACCTTTATTCCAAACTGAAAACAAAATTGTAATGTCAAACATCTATAAAATGTTTTTTTCAAAAACTAGCTCTTCTGTTTTTTAATTATAGAATTAATATCATGGTTACTAAAATATTTAACATTAGTTTTGCAAAACTAAAATTATTTTTTACGAAGTTTACCATATTATATAAATACGATAATATATTTATTTGTTCAACAACTGTATATATTTTGTGTATAACATAACGAATCTTTACCAAAACTCAACTTTGGACACACAAATCTAAGCAAATAAATACTAGTTGCGTTTCGACCAGACTATAAATTGAATGAAGATATTCTTCAATAATTTAATTGCTAATTATTATTAATCTCAGAGTGTTATTAATTTTTTAAACCCTTGTTTAAAAATGTATCTTAAACCGTTTTCAGCGTAAGCGTAATACAAATATACATATATAAAGTAAAAACACACTCCATAAACACATTCATTTCTGAATGGAAATAAAACACCGTTATGTCTGAAAAAATGCTTACCAAATAACCAAAAGACGTAATTAAATTAAACATAAAATTCACGCTCCCATCACCAGCATCGTATGCTGTTTATTTGTCTACACGATACTGCATTACACGGCGCATTCATTGCGCCTGCGATTATGTTTTGGTGTAGAAAATGCTTAAATAATCGCAACCAGAAATATTCCCACGAATTTGCCTGCCTATCCAAAAGCTATAATATCAACTTGAAATCATCAGCAAAAACAGCAGCAACAACAATAACGTCTAGATGATACTTAGCTGCTGCCCCTTGTCGATGTACATGAGTCAGAAATAAAGGCAAACGGAATTGGCATTAGATTCTATTAAAAGCGGCGGTAATCGGCAAAATAAAAAAGAAGAAGCGTTGGCAGTAATCACCCGACGACGCGCAACGCCACAAGCATCAATGGTCCCAGAAACGAAAGACTGAAGCCACGAACTTGCTGTGCATGCCTAACGTGCTTTTAATAGCGTCGTCTCGTGGTTCTTTATTTAATGTTGGGCTGGCGGCTTTTCATTATTATTGCTTACCTGCTATTAATAACGTTTCATTCCATGCTGTTCTTTCTATATCTTCTTGTCTGAGTAGTTCTTCATGCAAATGACATTGAGCAGCATTTGCTTATTATGAATGGCGAGCTGCACGCGACATTAATGAATTGCTTTATTGATATCGCAACTAACAGTCGCCAACAACAAAACATAAAGACAATATAAAATGTGGCTATTGACGTCTTTTAAGCAGCAATTACCATGGCACACGAACTGCTGGAATTCCGTGAAAGGTTTGCAGCTGACTAGCCATGGCATTGAGCGGCGGTTGTGGCCGATAATGTGGGAAGTCTTTTTTGCAAGAATAATGTTGTAGAATTAAGTTCCAAAAACTGTGAGGAAACAAGATAGACCAAATGTTAAGGTGGGAAAATATAGTTAAATAGCTAGGAAGTAGCTAGCCATGATTGAAGTAACATACTTACATAAATGTCAACGAGAAAGTCTTGAAACGGTCTAAAAAAAATCCTTAAAAATAATTGCAATACAAGTTTTTAACTTTATTTTTAACAATTCTATAAGATTCGATTGAGTAATTAAATCAAGAATACATACTTTTTATCAGACTAATTGTTGTCATCTGAAACTTGCTAATTAAGCTTTTGTTAATTTGTGAATAGTGTGTTATTATTTTTTATATTTTTATCATTTAATTATGATAAGACTTACTAATTTTGTTTTTTAGAAATCATTTAAAATTTGAATTCACTTTTTAAAGTGTTATTTTAAACGCCTCTCAAATTACTTTGCTCATTTAGGCAAATCGGCCTTGATGTGCATTTTCGAAGCATCATTTAAAACTAAAAACCTTAACCAGCGATGCTTCCAGTGCTGCCTTTTCAAACTCAATCAAACATATAAAATTGCTGGCCAATTTGTAGAATATTCATTGCCACAACCAATGCATTTACACACAATTTGGCTAACTTTTTTAAGCAAATAGAGGCGAGCATATACACACACTCCGACCCATACAAAACATTGAGCAACAACCTTAAAAGGTCGTTCATTTGTGCGCGGCTTTGGCAACTGGCCTGACTTCCATTTTGTTGCAAACTATTTCAGTGCACTTTGACAAAAAAAAAACTTAAACGAACCGAACCTACAAAGTGTCAAATCATGTGGCCAGGCCCTGAGCAACACAAGAAGCTAAGAAGTCGGGTAACCTATATTTAACCCAAAACTATCCATCAAATTACATGCAATGAGGTTGTTGTTGCTGTTGCCTCTGCTGCTGCGACTGTTGCAACTGAATGCAATACCCTTTTGTAAATTGAAAAACCATTTAAATCCCGTTAGTTTTAACACCCATTTTCTATGCCACTTGAGTTAGATTGCCAAACAGCGAGAAGCCGCTGCGAAAATCGCTAAACAAAAGCGCCGAAAAAAGCAGCCGACAAGCAACTGTAATACGTAATGCAAGCGATAATTATTGCCTATGGGCCAGACAGCCGAAAAATTGGGGAGGGCCGAAGAGCGGGCTGCTACTTGCCGTAGATGATTGAAAGCGAAGAAGATTTGCATAGAAACGTGCGATTTTTGCCATAGCCCAGGGGCTCAGGAGCTCATGGCCTCAGTCGAGCGGCCTCCGTTGCTGCTGCTGCTGCTTTTGCCCGCTACCGTATCTTTCCGATGCCTTTTTGTATCTGCAGCTGACATGTTGCACCCACAGCGTTTGTCGCGCTTGCTGTCAACGTGCTCGGCAGCATGAGAACAACAATGCCGCCATCGCAGTTGTTGCTGCCTTCAATTACTCATCCATTCATGCCGTCATTCATTCAGCGCACTCTGAGACAAAGCTCTTGAAATATTAAAAACACAATACATTTTGTTTAAACCGCTTGTACAAGTATGTTACTTCTGCTCTATAGGCAAATAAAGTGCAGATTGTTTAAATAATGAGATCACATTTTGTTTTTAAAAATTATTCAATCCTTGAATGGAATACAATACTTAATAGCTTCTGATTTAAACTATTCATTATACAAGGCACTTACATTTTATTGAATGTAGGAAAAAAGGTGTGCCAGCTCAGCTTCGCTTCAAGCCAAAGTTTTACACTACATATGGGTTTATATTTTATTTTAAAATATATTTTTTATCATTATAAAAAATACTATTCCTAAATTTAACTTTTTGGAATTTTGGTGTTAAATTCATTCAAATCGGAGAACATAATATTCACTTCTATAGAATTACAAATTGATTCGGAACAGGATGTTTAAGGCTAAAATTTCATTAAATCCCACATTATTATTATTGTGATTTATTAAATTGAAATTTTCAACAGTAGAGCCAGTTACAATAAAACTACTTAAGCAGTTAAGACAAATCTTGAGTACCTATTTTAAAAAAGATGAATAGTCTTGAATAATGTCCCAAATTCGAATTTAAAATTTACAATTTTATAAACTGGGACTTTTGCGAAAATGAGACTCAAATTGAAACATATGCCTAGACATTGCCATCGAAAAATGAGTAAAGGCAATACGATCGCACATAACAGGAGACAGGCCACAATTTTTGGTTAAATAAAGGGCAAAGAAGTTGTTTTGACTTTTCTTTTGGAATAAAACAGCCTCCCTATGTACGACTAAAATTAAAAAAGCTACTATTGTAATTACTTATTAATACACAAATTTGCATAACATGAGAAAATATTTTAATTTGTATAGACATCTATTACTTGTACAATTTGTGCGAGTTTAGGATAAAAACAGTAGATAGTGTTAATTCACATTTGTTCCTACTAATCAACAGTTTTGTATTATCCGCAAAGAAAAAATATTAATTGGTAAAAGAAAAACGAAGCAAATGTCACATTTAAAATATTAAAGAACTTAAAACCTTTTATTTCAATCAAAACTAAATATACACTTCAGTTGCATTCCACCTCAGTGTGCGGCAGCAAAAGCCATGGCAGATTCCGACAGCATTTCAGCCTTTACTGGGTTTCCAGTTCAATGTGGCAGTGGCAGCGGCAATTTGTTGATTTTATTGTTCGCTTTTCTGCTTTTCTGATTTTCTTGCTGGAGTGGCTGCTGCAGCTTCTTCCACGGCCGCTTTGTCTTGCATCTTGGGGTTTTGGCCGCTGGTTGTTGCCAGTGTGCTGGGTTTTTGGGGGGATTTATAAATTAAATTGCAATTTACTTTGTCGTTGGCAATAACTGTAATTAATGCTTGGCAGAGGCGAAAGGTGCTCGCTGCTTTTTCGGCATCTTCTAGACTCGCCTTCTTCCAAAAACCTGCCGCCATTGTTATGCCCAAAATTTATGTACAGTGGCAGTTACTTTTGCTCTGGCATGGGTGTGTGGCCGCGGACGGTTTCTAACACCTCTCGTACTTAAACTGTTACCTCGTCGTTGATTTATTGCACACGGCACACGTTCAGCCCTAACGGCACAAACAATATTCAAAATGTTGTACATGCATGCATGTCATTTGAATATTCTCAAGAATTTCTGCCTACTTAAGTATGTTGCCAATTTATAATTCCCTTTGATGTGGCTCTCCCTGTCTCATGCTGTAGACCCACATTTGTCAAGATCTGAGCAGATGATATAGAAAGTTGTACATTGATTAATGCTTTTTAATGCGGCTGTGGACACTTGGCTTAAGACAGCTTTTGCGGTTGACATCATATTCTGATTTGGAATACATATATATCATATATATCAGCAATCTTTATAATAGTATGTTCATTTTTGGTTTTATTTCATTGTATAATATCTGTCCTTTGTATATTTAAGCTTCTGATATAAAATGCTAAATAAAAAAGAGCCATCATCATATTCTAATTTATAATGAATTTAAAATTTCAGAAAAGTTTACTACTATTTATAGAAATGAACATATTTCAAAGTTTTTGTAAATATGGTGTGGTGATATATTATAGTCGCAAATATTATACTTTTAATACCTACCCCAAATATAGATTGTTTATTCACATGTTTTTTATAAACAATTAAGATAATTCTGTTGTATTAACGTCTGGAAGCTCTTGATTGGGTTTAAAAAAATGTCGGCTACGTTATTATTTCCGGTGGGGAAATGCAAATAGATCCAAAATGTGTCGGCAAACTGGCCTGTGAATAAGTTCCCAATAGAACAAGTAAATAACGCGACTGCACAGTAACTCAACAATCAATTTAAAAAATGATCGTTTATTCCAATTTATGCCTGTTAGCTCGTGAGAGTGCGAGAACAATGAGAGCGACAGATACCTTCTCAGTATTTGAATTGATTGCCTACATGTTATTGTACGGAAGCGGACAGACAAACAAAATGCAATAGATAAGCATTACTAACTTGATTAAATACTTACTATGTAATTACCAAATAAAAGTAGCTGTCTTAACAGGTATACAACGTAATTGTTGTTTGTTTACCTTCTTAACACATCACTTTTTACTCATTATTGGCTAAATACAAGATAGTCCAACCTGTTGTCTATCTGCACTAATGATTAGTTCCTCATATGTTACGGGTAGATAGAAAATAAACTACATATAGGTTTTATAGAGCGTTCTTTTTAAGGTAACTTCGGAAGAATCTCGAACTATACTCTGCTGTGAGCGGGAGCCCTACCTTGTTCGAAACTATTATTCTTGGTACATTATTGTTCATAATATTATTTTCGTTAATAAGTGTTAATAAATATTTTAGGAAATATTTTATTCCTATACAAATGATTGTATGTAAGTGTATAAGAGCTGATCAATAATTTAGAACAACTAATGAAATAAGGATTTTTTTCTATTACAAAATTGAGTGCACTCATCCGCAACATATTTAATTTAAGCGGTCCAATATCAGTTCTACATAATGAATGTTATAATGGTTTTGTTTTAAGTTTTGGTCAACCACAAAGCTTGTATGTAGATCTTATCCAATCCAAATCAATTATCATGCGACAGTCACAGACAGTGCACAAAAAAGCATTTGTATGCCGCTAAACAGAACTCCCTAATCCAAGTGAATAAAACTTGAAATTAAACATCACAACGCCAGAAAGCATCATCCTTTTGGAATGTTCTTGTTCGATAATAAAGACTGACAAGATAAATGAGCGAAATTAAATTTCAATGCCAAGCGGGTTCTTTCAACAAGTGGAATACATTAATAGATAGCTGAGAATTAGTGCTTGTGATGTCAATTAACTTGCTGGCAAGTGGCTTAATGTTAACTGTCACAATTTATTTATTTAAACAATTGCCGGCTAATGACAGAAGATCTATGCATTTGGCATACATGATTTTAGTGGATAATGCCAGCTACTGTGTGTGGCCACCAAAGTAGTGCTGCATTACTGGATTTGCATCAGTCAGGCAAGTAATGTGCTTCTCGATGGCAAAAACAGAAATAATGTATTTTTTATTGAGCATTTTACAAACTGCACAACAAACCGCAGGGCATGAACTCTGACCGTGCATAACTATGGCCACGAAGTCTTTCGCAGGAATCACGATAAGGCCAACACAGCAGCAGTCCCAACTCTGGCCAAATTTGTATGCATTTTAATGCGACGAAGATTTATGTAAGCCCCACACACAGCCACAAATATATACTTGTAGGTAGACAGCGAAAAAGAGCCAGAGTTGAAGCCGAGCTGGTAGCTTAGAAACCCGTCGTTATCGATCGATATAGTCGAGAGCTCGAGCCGTTGATGTCTGAGACTGCAAGCGCATGTCATCATCAACATGGCCGGAATGGAGAAGGAGCTGCGACTGCAGAGCAGATAATAACTTGATCATAGGAAAATCATTTATTGTGACACGATCGCAGAATGGGTCGCGACTTGAGGAACTGCGAGTCTGGCGAATTGTGAATATCAATGCGATAAATCGCTGTGCCTTGTTAGACGGACTTCAGTCGCCCGCCAACTTGTTGCCATGCATTCGAGTTATATGGCAGCTTTAAAGACGACTTCCATATTTTGGTCTACGTCGTCTTTGTTGTGATGAGCTTATATTATTTTATTTTTGATAATTCGCTGGGAACATGCCCCCCTTTTTTTTACTTTGTTTATTTTTCACCAGCCATAAACAACAAATCGTAGTCAGATAAGCACAGTATTGTTTATTTTAAGAAATTAGAGATTGCGTGCAATCAGCTGGCTAAACGCTCACCATGATAGAGCTGCATTTCATGAACAATTATGATTATGATTATTATTATTATTTTTATTTTTATTTTTATTAGAGCAACGACCGTCGAGACTGTTGCACAGACTTACACATGTCAGCTACATGTTTATTTAACAGATATGCAATGCTTTATACTAAATGTATCCAAAATATTTACACAGTCCACCTCATTTGCTTAACTATGCGTTAATGCGTTTTTATCTTTGCTAAATACTTTATGATCGTTATGACACCAACGTAAATATGTATTAACGCACTTCTTTATGCTTTTATGATGTGTTACACAGAGATGTGAAAATTAAACAAAACTTAATGCACGCTTAACACGACGAAGATTGTATATTCTGCTTTATTGCTGGCCGTTGTGATACTCTGTACTTGAAAGATAAAAAGCGTATCTTAAGTTTGTCAAATTGAATCCTGTTGCTTCTCCAATTGGGCATGAACATTTTGCTGCAAGCTGTGTAAACACTGCAACAAACAATTTGCGAGCAAACAAAATTTGCGCAAATATAATTAAGCCAACATTTGCAGTTGTGTAAACAGCAAACTCTGAATTTGCACGCATATCTCAGCTGTCATTCGTTATAGGCAATCGAAAACAAAAAAACTTCCCAACAAACCAAGTTGAAAAGTTTGCAAAAATATATCTTAAACAATCGATAGCAATAAAGAAAGTCGGCCAAAAAATTAGTATGTCTGATCGTAGCCTAAATACTTATTCACGTCTGAAGAGTTCTGCGAATTTTAACTTTACCAATAAATCTAATAATTTTTTGCGGCTAGACAATACACTATTATCAGCACACGTTCGGCCTTAACTGTGAGATTATTCAATCATAATGTGCTTAGCCATACAATTGTGATACTTCTGCAGTTGATAGGAAAAATTGTTGGTCATGTTTTGTGCATCTGTGAAAGTGTCGTTCCAAACATTTAGATAACAATGATGTGCAATTTTAAAATTTATCACCACTAACCACACACTTGTTTTAGCTGTTCAAAACAACTGCAGTTGATTGGAAAAATAGGCGGTCTAGTTTTGTGCATCTGCGAAACGGATGTATGCTGATAATTGTGAAAACATTTAGATAACAATGATGTGCAATTTTGAATTTTATCACCACTAACCACACACTCGTATTAGCTGTTTAATATCAAAACAAATATTCGCAGATTAGAAATGCCAACACATACTAATAAGCACTTTGATGGCAGACTCCGAAGCGTAACTTTGTGAGTGAAGTGTAATGGTAGCCCCAGAATAATTATGAATTATTGTTCATGTACGTATCTTATCAGATAAGCGCATATTACGAGCATGTTATCAATTTAAGCAACTAGCGTTCGGGCTCACGATGCCGACTTCGGCTTCCTATATATAAGCACAGACGACAAGCGTGTCGAACTTTCAGTTCTTACGCATTCAGGTAACTGCGGAGCCAAAACACACAATGGAACAGAATTCATTAGAGGAGAAATTTAAATTGTTCAGCCCACGTTATCGCTGGCAATTTATTTCAACCTTGATGGGTAAGGTGCACAGTTCACAATCACAATAAGCCAACTCATCTATGCGAACTCTCCAAATAGTGCACATTATGACCTTCACACATGGAGTCAGTGTGGGTTGGCTGTCGCCAACCTTGCGTTTGCTCAGCTCCGAGAACAGTCCACTGGGCTATGAAATTACTTTCGTTGAAGCCTCGTGGATCGGTTCACTTATGGGCTTAGGCTCCCTAGTCGGTAATATTGGCTTTGGATTATTACTCGATCGTATTGGTCGCAAGACATGCATGTATGGGCTGGCCATCCCCAATATGGTAGGTTCTCTGTGGAGATTTTAAACGCTTTTTCTAATTAAAACGCTTTATGTTGGATTGTAGTGCTATTGGATTTTAATCTACACGGCAGAAAGCGTGGACTATTTGTACGCTGGACGCTTTCTAGCTGGAGTCGCAGGTGGTGGTGCCTACGTAGCTCTGCCTATATTTATTTCTGAAATTGTCGATGACCGGTGAGTAATATACTAATTGCACCATTAGGCTGAAAAATCGTTTATATTCTTCAAGATAAGATCAGCTATATGTACATAAGCAATTTAAGTGCAACTAGATTGGCAAACAATATTTTAAAGCTGCCATAAAACATATCTTCTCAAAAAGTCTATTCATTTGTGTGTATGTATTGCGTTACGCATTTTCAAGATTTATTTGCATTTTTTTGTATTATACAAAAACATACTCTTATATTGAAAAAGATATTACTTTGACATTAAGCTTAGTGATTGACCGGCACAAAGAAGAGTGTTCTAATAACATTAATTTTTTAGTTACACCATTCACATTTTCAAAGATTTTTATTTGCCATCAAAATATCGTCATAAAATCTTTTAGATACTTGCATATCAAGGAATAGTTTGAGAAATCACATTTTAATATAAAAAAAAGGTACTTATAAAGAAGCTTGAGTAACACAGAAAAAATTTCAACAAATATAATTAAACAAGTAATCCAAAGATGTAATTTAAAACAGGACTCTTTAAATGCAATAATTAATTTTTAATAAAAAAAGAGACTATTAAGATCTAATAATTCCAGGTGTAAGAACAAAATGTCTATCAGATCAAAAGTATTGCTGATTAATAGGTATTTCATATTTAAACATAAACAAAAGCCCCGAATGCTTATCAATATAAAAATGCTAATGCTAAATGTAAACACATTACTTAGAAAATTTGAAGTGTGGTCAGCAAATGATTATCTTAAAACGTGACTATATAAAGCTTACTATCAACATCATTTTACTCTATCTGGGAAAAAACGTGTAAATAGTAAGCATTATAAATATTTCAAAATTATCAAAATACATAATACTTAGTAGTCTATCAGATTAAAGCCGGTTACTGCCGGTATCGTGAAGCCTTCGCAGTAGACTTGTAGGTACTGAAAATAGACACGTAATAAACACGAATCAAACCAAAAAAAAGAAGTAACATACAAACATTTAACTTCTAAAAATAAACAACTAACTATAAAAATAGGTTTTGCTTTTTCATAACGATTAACGCAATTTAAAATTGCATTATTCAATCTTTTAATTTATACATCTTTACTGAATAGTATGCTTAAAAGCATTTTTTATCTCCAGGCTTGCTTAAGGCATTCCTAAAGCTTGTGACGTCAATTATAAATTCTGTGCTTAGCTAAATTCCAGCTATGAACAAACAAACAAGCTACCGACTTTATCCCTTTATGCCTTGCCAACACAAATAGTTTCTATAACTGACAATTATTTATTAAATTTTTTTTTTTATCATACACAGTGTGTTACGGAAGTAATAAATATTGTGATTAACTAAAATTATATTCCCTAGCAGACTCAACTTCATTTTTATTATGCCTTTATGTGTTCTGTCCCCGACCCAAAAACATTCCACTATGGCATTTAATTTATTAATTTATTTTTTATATCACACTTTGTGCTACCGTATAATAATTTTATCTTTGATTTACATCCGCACAACTTACAGCATTCGCGGTGCCTTGTCATCCATGGCCATGATGAATGTTTGCTTCGGAACACTCATCGGCTTTATAATGGCTTCGTATCTGTCCTATTATCTGATGCCGTGCATCGTTATAGCACTGCCCATTATATATCTATTGGCCATCTTTAACTTACCTGAAACGCCTATCTACTTGATACGAAGAGGTCGCGATGAGAAAGCTGAGAAATCATATAGATTTTACAAGAATCTGAAAAACAGCCCAAGCGATCAAAACGAGTCTGAAAAGCATGATGATGTTAAGAATGAATTCAAGCTTTATCGGGAAATGGTTCTGCAAGGTGGCGTACGAGAGAAAGTAACATGGCAAGATTTCAGTGAGTATACCCGAAGCTATGAAATTTCAATTGACTTATCTTCCCAATACTCCCACAGTAAACAAACCGACGTTGAAGGTATTTGTTCTTATCTTTGTTCTAATTGTGACGAATCAAATGTCGGGCAGCTTTGCCAACCTCAATTACACATCGAATATATTTGCCGAGCTCGAGAACAGACTTAATGTGAATACCTGCACCGTGGTGGTGGGCGTGGCACAGGTTGTGGGCATCCTCTGTGCAGTCATGTTGGTGGATCGCTTTGGACGTCGCGTTCTACTGCTTACCTCGATGGCTGGCATGGGCTTGGGCGAGTTGGCCATTGGTCTGTTGAAGGATCTGAGCACATCGGAGCTGCTGGCCGAATTGTATTGGCTGCCACTAACTCTTATGTGTTGGGTGGCCTTCATAGCGGCCGTAGGCATGGTCTCTTTAGTATTTACGATCATCATGGAACTGCTTCCCGCGAAGGTAAGGTATCACAACTCAACTAAGTTTCAACTAAAGTCAAATTTCCTGCTTTACAATTTCCAGATACGCTCCATTGGCACCTCACTCAGCATGGCTACCTTCAGTTTCTTCATCTTCGTGTCACTGAAAATCTATCCCATCATGATTGCCAATTCGGGCCTGGGCCCTACCATGTACATGGCCGCTAGCTTTTGTACTTTTGGTTTCATTGTCTTGGGCCTATTTCTGCCCGAGACCAAAGGCAAGCTGATGACACACTAGACGAGCTCTTCCGAGCCCTTTTATCTTACGAAATTAAGGCAGACTGTAATACCAAAAGGTATCCATCCGTCCAACGGAAAGCAGAGTCGAATGTTTTAGTGGACTGTTTTTCTACATCCATGGTCGAATACATTCGATACTATGTATCTCCTTTCTTACAATAAGTCGCTAGGGTCCCTTTTGCAGTAGAATGTAATACTAACCATATAGTATGGTTGTTGTTATTATTGTTGCCACCTATTTACATAAAAACGTACTATAAAATAAAATTAAAAACAAATCGGAACCATCTATTGCATTTCAATCTCATAAGCTGACAAGGAAAGAAACCATCGCCGGCCTCCTTCCTGGCAAGAAATATATGGGTAGGTCTTCTACTTTCTTCCGGCAATTTTCGGGCAAGTCTTATCTGGTAAAAGGAACAGAAGTATCCATGGTGGTGGAGGTGCTCATGGACACTCCGCGCGACTGGGTATACCTTTCAACGATTTCTGGAGATAAACACCTTCTTCTTTTTCTGCCACTGCCCAGCATTAAGCAGGCGCAGGCTACACTAAGGGAACCTTTAATAAACGACCTCTCTGAGGCAAAAAAAAAATCGAGCTCGTGAACTTAGCCAAATTTATTAATATAACTGACTGATTCAAGGCAAAGCGATAAGATTGTAAAATATATGGTACCACAGGTGGTGTTTTGAGCTTAACAATAATACAAATTCGGAATGGAATTAATATTGGAAAAGATGTGTCATTTTAGAATAAATTACATATTACTTTCGCAGTTAAATAATTACTCATAAATAGTCATAAAAGAAGGAGATGAATGAACGAGAGATGTTAAGAACAGAGAGATGTGGGGAATGTGGTTGAGAGTTCTCTTTTATGCTGTTATGCTGGCTATAACTCATCTTTTTAATAATGTCGGAACGTAACGTGTAACGTGTAAGATTCAGAAATAGAGAAGAATTACTATATAATCTTGTGTCCTACTTAAGAATCAATAAAGGTACTACAAGTATATATGAGTATTTAAATTAACCTATTTAGGTAAAAGTCTTATAAATAGCTCTATAAATATAAAGTTTACCTAACATTTCGCTATCATAATAAATGCAGCTGTAAATTCTAAATAATGTGTAAAAATTTGTATTGTTATGAGTCGACAGCTTCTGCTCATCAGACTTATCATAATAGTGAACTACATAGTTCAACTCTACTACGTACACCCGGCTAAAATTGCTTTTACAATTTGTATGAATGGTGTAATTATTAAAGTCCACAATATTTGTGACAATTAATATATATATACATAGCAATGGAAGCACGCAAATTTAATGAATTCATCTGTGATCACTGAAGTGTATACTATATTATAAAAATGGAATGTTAATTATAAAAACTCACGATTTTGATAGCTTCATACAAGTGGACTACGCACTTATCTTATCGGAGAAGCATAGTGTAACAATTAGCGCCTCATTTACATAGACGACTTACTTTTGGTGCAAAATCTTTTGACAAATCGCTGGTCAGTTTATAAATTGCTGGCTACCCGATAAGACGAACAAAATGGTACAGGGGAAATTAAATTGGCTCAGTCGGCGATATCGCTGGCAAATTATTTCCTCCATGACGGGTAAGTGCGAAAATCAGAAACTAAGCTCTCTGCCTGGCACCTATTATGTTTCTCCAAATAGTGCACACTATGCTTCTTAATCATGGCGTCTGTGTGGGTTGGGTATCACCCACATTGCGTCTGCTCGGCTCTGACGAAAGTCCACTAGGATATCCGATCTCTATTAGCGAAGCATCATGGGTGGGCTCACTTATCGGCTTGGGCTCAGTTTTTGGAAATATATTTTTTGGGCTATTGCTCGATCGAATTGGCAGAAAGACCTGCATGTATTTTCTAGCCCTGCCAAATATTGTAAGCTCAATAGATTGTTGCAGCTTACAGATATTTTTGATGCTAGAGTTTTCTGTGTCTTATAGATGTATTGGATTCTTGTCTACACTGCACAAAATGTAAATTATTTGTATATTGGACGTTTATTGGCTGGTTTCGGAGGCGGCGGAGTTTATGTGGCTCTGCCCATATTTGTGGCTGAAATTTCCGATGACAAGTAAGTGAGTCCTTTTCGACGGTTATAATCCTTGTGAAGCGCTTACAAATTATCATTTTTGATTTCTAAAGTGCCTAAAATCTCTTTCAACTTCAAATTAATTATGTTATAAAACAATTTATGCAACGATTTTAAGTAATGAAAAATAGTCGTGATATTTTTAAGTATTTTATATTTTTAGTATTCGTGGCGCTCTGTCTTCCATGGTAACGCTGTATTATTGCGTTGGCGTACTGATTGGTTTTGCAACGGCCTCCTATCTATCCTACTACCTCATGCCCTGCGTTATTCTTGCCATTCCCATCTCATATATGATAGCCATCATTCGGTTACCCGATACGCCAACATATTTGCTGCGAAAGGGTCGCGACGAGGAGGCAGAGAAATCCTATAGATTCTATAAGAATCTGGGTAAGAGTCCTGCCATGCCAAATGATTCTGAACGCGATGATCCCGCCAAGAATGAGTTTAAACTATTTCGTGAACAGGTATTGCAAGGCGGTGTGAAGGAGAAATTAATTTGGAAGGATTTCAGTAAGTGGACAATTAACACTTTGGATAATTTATTAACTTTTCTTTAATTTTCAGTGAATAAAGCCGCCCTCAAGGCCTTCGTCCTTATATTTGTGCTAATTTTCTGCAATCAAATGTCGGGCAGCTTTGCCCTCATAGGTTACACTGCAAACATTTTTTCTGATCTGGAAAACCAACTCAATCTGAATGTCTGCACAATGCTGGTGGGCGTGGCTCAGTTGTTGGGCATTGTGTGTGCTATGGTTACGGTAGATCGCTTTGGAAGGCGAGTCTTGCTGCTAACCTCCTTTGGGGGCATGACTTTAGGGGAAGTGGCCATTGGGCTATTGAAGGATCTGGGCACTTCGGAAATACGTGCCAACTTCAAGTGCCTACCTTTGGTGCTTATGTGCTTCACTATGTTCATATCTGCAGTTGGAGTTATATCTTTGGTCCTAACTATTACTGTGGAGTTGCTGCCAGCTAAGGTAGGGTTGATTACATAATTCAAGAAGTTTTTGTAACCTTTTGTCCTCTTTGCAGATACGCTCCATTGGCATTTCACTGAGCATGGTCTTATTAAGTTTCGGAATCTTTGTTGCACTCAAAATCTTTCCCATTATGATGTACAGCTTCGGGCTAGGGGCCACAATGTATATGATGGCCGGAGTTTGCGCATTCGGTTTCATTTTCTTGGGCCTCTTTCTGCCCGAGACCAAAGGCAAGCAGATGACAAAATAGCAACAGACGATCACCGTTGAGCTCAGCGGCTAACTTATTCAGTTTTTGCCTCCCTTTTGTAATGCAAACAAAATGGTTTATTGCGTTTTTTAACAGCCATCTTAGAAATATGATCTGCTTGTTGACCGAGTCTTGTGGTGGGTTTATTTTTTGAGTGGAATGTAATAATTACAATAAAATTTGAGTGTTGAGTGCTGACTTCACATCATATCATCAGAAGAAAAAAATAATAAATAAAATAATATGATAAACAAAACAACAGCAGACGGAACTAGCTTAAGTTTTAAAGAAATTGATTCGATTGATTGGGTAGTCCTGGCAGCCCAAGACTGGCAGTTACTGCATTTCTTCGCCACTCTTAAACGCTGACTTAAAACAGCTCAGCTTTCCAGCAGTCCAATCAAGAACAGATATATGACTCTAAATATAATCACATATATAAAACCAAAATGGTAAAATTATATTTAGTATTATTTATTTATTTCTAAAAAGCTTAAATATGTCGTGTTTTAAAAGAAAGTGGGAAGTAGTTGCATGCAACTTAAATTATTTTAGTTATTATTATATTATCTTATTGTTTATTATTCGTTTTTCAGCTATTCACAAATCTTCTGCTTGAATACACGTAGTACCTTATCGACAAGGAAAGTGTTGTTTTTGCTTTTTATTCAGCTCTCAGTATTAGGGAAGGTTTAAGATCCTTCCATCCTTTAAGATATTCCATCGCTATTAGCCTAACCGCGTGGGTTGGACATATTATTAGCTTATCTTCGCAAATAAAATGGTTAACCTAATCCTCGATCGCATTGGTCGCAGGGCAGTTTCATGATCAAATATTGCAGGGTGATATCAAGGAGGAAATAACTCAAAGAAATCTGAGTAAAGCATTTCCGAGTCTTCGTTTCTCGCTTTTCGTTTTTGAAGGCATTCTTCCTTATATTTTTGCTTATTTTTGGAGTCAGATTTCTGAAAGTTCTGTCATCATTAGTTCCACATCGCCATCTGTGGTGAGCTCGAGAATCAGCTTACCCTGTCAGTGCAAGAACTGGACACATCATAGCTAAGAGGCAATAGCAAGCGTCTTCCATTAGTTATATAGTTTTGAACTACTACTACATAATACTATATATTCATATCAGGAGCTAGTATTTGCGTCGTAAAATTGTAACTATTACTGTAGACATGCTTCCGGCCAAGGCGACCTAAAGTTTAACAGAGTTTCTTTTAACCTCTCGCTGAGTATGGCACTAAAAATCTATTCCGTTTTGATTTACAGCTCGGAGCTGGGCGTTACAATGAACATGTCGGCCGGTGTTTGTGCATGTGGTTTCATTGTTTTGGGCCTTTTCTGACCGAGACCAAAGGCAAACAGTTGACGGCTTAAGGCTGTACGTGTATGGTCTGAGCCGTCGACCTGTTCGGCGTTCGTCAGTCCTCTTTTGTATTCGCACATCATTACATAAAAAACGCCAGACCTGCCTGAAAACTCAACTAAGTCGACTGCCAACAACAACGGCGCATCCTGAACTTTTGAACCTAATTCAATTTATCGGTATTTGGCTTTTTTGTGGCGATACACATTCAAGGCATTGCATTTGTGTTTAACAAATAGAAATAAATGTTGTTTGGAGAAAGTTGGCAAGGTAGGGGCCGCACTATGAACTTGTGATTGATATGAGTTCAAGCTGTCAAAAAGTAAATAAATAAACAAAGTTTGCATGTACATTCATGGAAGCTTAGGTAAAAATAGCAGCAATAAAAGTACTTTGTGGTTTAAACATGAAAACGTGCTTAAAGAAGCGAGCAGAAACTTATTCCACTTTTGCAAATATATTACACTTTAAAATTCAAATAAAATACGTTCAAGATTCCATAAAAATAATGTACATTTCAATTGTACTTTCTTTTATTTTAATATCATAATAATTGGAAATGTTATGACAACTTTGCTGCACTCAACAAAATGTTCAAAATGAAAGACATTCAAGAAAAAACTTTGGTTCTTAAAATCACGATACTATTGCCAAGTGGAGTATAACTTTTTTATTGACTATAAATTTTTGACAATTTACAAAAGCTTTGTTTGGCAGCTGCAATATATCTTTTAAAGAAATCCAATATTTCCTTCTTTAAAAATGTGCCGTTGGTGAAGAGAGTGAAATCGCACACAAAAGTTCACGAAAGCGCTTATAAAACAAGAGTTACACAATAATGCAAAGCACTTTCAATCGTAGACTGATAAGCCCCCAAAAAGTGCAACATGAAAAATCAACAACGAAGCTTTTCCTACCTGTTTTGCGATTTGAAGATGATGAAGAATTAATGAATTCGTTGAACGCAGTACTCGCGGTGTGGGCACAAAACAAAAAGAAAATAAACAAACAGTCAAAGACTCATAAATTCAACAAATTATTATTTTTCTAGTCTTTTTGCTCTGCAAATGCGTTAGTAGAAATGTATTTCTCGAGCCGCTCTTACCGCAAATTAAGCAACGAAATGTACGCGAAATTTTAGTTTTATGACAGGACGCATACATATCTTATACTTAGTACCTGGGTAAGTAGGTATGTATATAAGTAGATTGAGAGAGTGCGATAATTTAGGGCTGTCAGCAAACAAAGGAGACACAAAACTAGCGAAAAATGGGCCAAGTAGAAAATCAAACAAAGTCGAGCAGACAAATGCAATTTGTAGCCCAGTTAGTTGGATTTACAAAACTCACACTGCATCAAGAATGTTTGCAAACGCCATTGAAGTCTAATTGTATATCAATAAGTAATTATTAGTTAATCAAATCCAATTGCAAATCTCTCGTATGTGATTTTATTTTATTATATTTTTATTTATGCTTCTTTAAAAGAGCTTATTATTTATAAGAAAACAATACTGTAATTTTAAACTTATCGTTTTTTTATTATTATTTCATAATAATTTAAATTTATATTATTTTTTGATTAAGGTAATTAGTCTGGAGGTCCATGGTGTGAATGTGGTGTCTTCTGGCTTAGGGATGAAGATGCCTTAAGCTTCCTTTGTTGCTTTCAGCACGTAATTCATCGCGATAAAGGTCTGTATATAGCTATTTTAGAATGACTTTATTTACTTTATAGAGCAGTATTGGACTTATTATATGTTTTTTCATTTCCAGAGAAGTCTTTCTTTACTAATAATTTCATTTACATTTCATTACAGAATTCACTCACAATGGCATACCAATTAAAGCTCAGAGTTGGCCAAATACATACCACAACTACTGTATTCATATTTCGGAAGCACAGACAACGAGTGCACTTAAGTGCTGAATCAAAAAAAAATGCAATTTCATAATTTTTCACACGTTTTTGTCAGCCCAGCCGAATGGGAGCAAACGCCAAGCGGAAATTGCTGAGCTGTGTGGTAACTCTGATAAGAGCCAATTGCAGCAGTTAGTGAAGTGGTTGGTGGTGGTGGTGGTGCTGCTGCACTTGATTAACAAACACTAGTAATTGCAAGTGACCCACTAACTCTTCATCAATGAAGCCTTTTGCGTGACTGGACGGAAGCCAAACTCCCACACACATTGCCAGACACTTGGCAGGGAGAGATCCAACAATTGCGGCTAATTCGAACTAGATTGCTCATTGTTGTTTGATTTGCGGTTACACTCACAAAATATGGAAAAGCAATTGTTTATTCACACATTGTTAATGTTCACCAATCAGTCAAATGAAAGGCTCGTAATATGAGCCTACAGCGGAGCCTGAACCTTTCAATAATTCATTTTTGCATGCAAACAACCATCCTTTGTTTGTGGCTTTTCGGTAGCACTCTCCACAGTCTTTGTTGTAATATTAGTTGTTGTTGTTGTTTTTATTGTTGTTGGCACTGTCATAATTCACAATTAGCGCACTCTTTTTGTTCCTTTTTTTCATACTTACTTGTATATTCGATTTCATTTGGCAGCCGAACCACTCACCCACTGATCTCCATTGATAAAGAAAGCGTTGCGAACACCGAAATGGCCATAGAAATAATTTTTTATTGTTAACTGGAAATTGTTTCTCGATTTATTTATTGTGTCATTGCAAATATTGTATTCATTATTTATGTAGGTTCGAGGTATTTGCGATGATGCGACTATTTTATTGTGATCTCTGTGCTCCATTTCAAATGTTTGTGGCAATTTTCAAAAACTTATTTGAAGTATTTATCTGCTCTAATTTTCAATGGACTTTTGTGAATGGCTACGTAGAAGTTATTTATGCTGTCGAGGCTTACTGAATTCCGCATTGCTTTTATTGCTATATATTATACAATCGGCCCCGAGGGGGCCAGTTCTTTGTTGTTGAAGTGTTTGCATAATACGTGAGTAGACAATATACATGGATCTCTGACATGGATACAAACGTTTTTTAATTGATACATTTTGGTCGTTTCGATTTCAAGTTCTCTCAAGTGGAAATTAGGCTTAAGCTGAACTACTTAATGATTCGTTTTTCTCAAGCTGACTTTCAATAAATATTTTTCCAATATTAGCGCAAATATTTGAAGAATTATTTGAAATCGAAATAATAAAACTACTGCGAATGCTAGCAAAATAGTTAGACAAGAAAAATTAGTCCAAAAAGTGGCGTCCAACAGCAAGAGGTGATTGAACTTTAGCAAAAAAACATAAATAAAAATGCAAAAAAAAAACAAATAGCAAGATACAACTTTGCTAATTTGCATTTCATCGAAACCCAATGACCACTTAAAGAAACTTAGAAAGATATTATATGTTAGTCGGATTTGCAAGTTATGCGAACTAAATAAACACAAAGCAACATAAATATTCAAATATATGCAGTTTAACTTACAAATATTTAAAAATAAACCGACGAAGACTCGTTGCGAAAACATGAGAATAAGCAAAATGAGTTAAAAACGAATTGAATGGCTCGAATATGGAAAACTAACAGACTTAGCAGCAGGCAGCAGCTACCGTTAATCAGCGAGCAAAATTATAAAAAGAAGAAAAATAAACAGTTGAATGAAACTGGAAAATTTGGTGGGTA